TCAGAAACAGAAATTGCGTTCGGTTGTGGTAAAGCAAAGGTTGCGCCAATGAAGGCTTCACTCCGTCGATATTTTAGCAATTGTCGTTGCAAACCGGAATTATGAAATAAAGGAACTCACCACTGTGGATCAGTGGCTCATTGTAAATAATGGATATAATCCCGCAGATACTAGGATAAGCAAAGGATTAGCGGAATGTCTTAGAGAAAGCAGTTGGGTCAGGGATCGGAGCTTCCAATAAGGCAATGAGTTGCCACTCAAACCAAATGTGGGTGTTGCGACTAATATCCCTTCCAAAAATTCTGTGGAAGACGCCATAGACATTTCAACACATGCTCTCACGACAATTTCCAAGCGGTCAGAGCAAATTTTTGCTTGGGAGAAGTATACTGGTTTTACCCGGCCGAATTAGCAATTGCGAAAGATAAATTGTTAAACGGTGAAGATAAATTCAAACAACTTCAATCTGACATACCCATGAAATGTTCTGGTCGCATTGCAGGTTACTCACCGTTTATCAGCCTCGATTGCATTATTTGTTCCACGAGACGGATTCAACAATTTGCGGAAAAGTATTTTGAAACTAAGCGTCAAAGATTTTCGTCATTTTTTTTGTGAAACTGTTTCTGAGGCACCTGCACATTGCCCACAACTATCAACACTTGACCTATTTGCGTTCCATAGTACATATGGGGTCTGTGGTGTTTGGTCTGCGAGCGACCCTCCGTACATTTGAAAGATGTTGTTTTCTCTGCAGAAAATTCAAGGCAAGCACGTTACATCCTTTAATGTCAGACCTCCCTGTCGAAGGGCTTGGTTACCACCATCGACCATTCAGTAACTGTGTGATGGATCCTTTTGGTCCATTTTGGTCCAATCCATATCGGTAGATGACTGCCAAAAGTTGAAACAGACAGGCTCCCGCATTATTAGTGCATAATGGGTTAAATAGAAATACAATCCTCCTGGAGCGCCGCGTCATGGTGGGTCGTGGTACAGGTAAGTACGCATTTGCAAACGTAGTTTCTACACAACCATGGTACTGGCAAGTTAGCAGATGAGGTTTTGTTGACCACGTTTTGTTTGGTGGAGCAATCATTAAATGCCCGTCCAACAAACGCCTGTTGGTTCCGGTTCAACTGGATTGGAAGAGTTAACGGCTATAATTTTTTGGGTGAGTACTCTTTAAGTCTTCCGTCGCTTACGTTTCTTGAAAGTTTCGACCACCGTAAGCATTATATGAGAAACGAAGCTTACGCAAATGCTGCTTGGCAGGGTTGGCTGAAGGATTATGTCCCTTCCTTGAACAAACGCTCGATGTGGCGGGCCAATAGAAACCTCGATTTACGAACTGGTGATCTCGTCTGGATTGTCGATCCCACTAGCCCTCAGGGACTTTATCCTTCAGGTCGAGTAACTGCTTTGCACTACGACAAAGACAACGCCTCTCACTCCGCAACCATTAAGACCCTATCGGTCCAACAATACATATTTAGTTGCATATAATACAAGGAATTTAACCGAGCGTATACACATTGCGTTCCGGCAGGTTCGGCGTAGGTTGGAACCCAGCCTGGGTCATTCCCTTTCTAAAACTCAAATATGCGCCATAATTGACAGAAAATAGTTTACGTTCAGTAGCCGGGTTCAAACCATTGTGAACCGATTCTGCAACAGGACAAAATCAGATTTGTTGCGGAATCCGCAACATTGCTATTTTTCTTTGAAGTTATTTGCTGTTTTGGATTCCACACACAAATACCAAAAACACTGTAGCGCGCAAAATCGTTCGCAAAGTAGACGAACTTGCAGAATCCGCAACAGTATTTGCTGAATCCGAAACTGTTTGTGGAATCCACAAACAAATAAAAAAACATGTGAGTAACTAAAATGAGCTGTTGCGGAATCAGCAATTGTAAGCGAAATCCGCAATTTGTAAGAGAAATCCGCAAATAGTAAGTGAAATCCCTAAAGTATAAGTAGAATCCGCGTTTTGTGTGCCGATTTCCTTTACAAACTCGTTTGTATGTAACAGCGTTTTAAATTTTATCTTTCAATTTTAAGAGGTTTTTGAAATGAATAAATTCTACACAAATTAGTTTTTCAATTGTTACATGCTATCGCGATCAGCTCGTCTATAATACTGCCTTGACTTCACCTCATCTCATCTCAAATGTTGATTTGGCTTCACTCCCGGCTAATCTCAAATACTGCATTCATCTTTAATTTGAGTTTACGCTATCATCTCATCCCAGATGATGCCTTCAAGATTTTACTTCACTCTCCACTAACCATATCAGTATTTAGGATTGTTGGAACCCCAAAGACTGACCCATTACGGCGATACTTACAGCATAAGCAGAACATGCGTACAGAACTCATCCAACTCACAGCAAAACTATATATGCATATGTTGTGCGTTGTATTTCCAAACATTCTCAAGACATTAACTCCAAATAACGAATATATTGGGTGTTGTGTTTCCAAAACAATGGTACCAAAAGTTGCTTGCTTGAAATAGTACTCCAAATACTAAAGGGTGATGTCCACCGATTTAGTTAACCAATTTCTTAAGATTTGTTCCCGGATTCCGATGACAATACTTAGATCCTTGATTTAAATTCCACATGGCTATAAATAATAATTCCAGCTGTAGCTTTCATTTGTTCATATGCAAAATCAGTAATAAAAAAAATTAACTTACAATTGCGGATTCCTTTTACATTTGCGGATTTCACTGACATTTTGAGAAATCCATTTACAATTGTGGAGTCCAGTAAGACTAGCTATTTTCGCTTGTTGCGGAATCCGCGACACAACAATTGTGCGGACAAAATTTACGTTGCAGGTTTTTGTATGGGGAATTCACGGAAATTTCGTAAGTGGAAATCATTTACATTATGAAAAAAGTTCAAAGATTTGTCTCGGGAATCCAAGGACATACAGACACAAAATTATGCGCCTATCCACTGAACAGTTTTTCCTCTTAATGTTGTTTTTCACAAAAAAAGTTAAAAAAGATCAAGCTTAATATTTGCCCGGTGCGCTACATCCCTCTGTATTTCGCAATTTTGCAAAATTATCAGTAAAATTTTCCTTATATTGTTTCACTGCATCTTTTTTTTTCCTAAGTTACTTTATCACAATCGCCAAATTGGACTACAAGTATATTTCACCTAAAAGAATGGGCTACTACAGTGCTGATTTAAATTATCCGGACAAAAAGAACAAAACTTGAGTTTTCAAACGCGTTTTTCTCAAATTGGGTTATGATTAGACAAAAAGTGAGGAGAACAAAAGTTGCTTAGACAAAATTAGGCTGGAGTAATTTTTTCTCCGAAATTGTCAACCAAAAATTCATCCCAAAAATGGGTCACTTTGGTTTTTTTCGAATAATCAAAAACTACGCTGAAATACTTTGTTAATTGATAGGAAAATTATATCATAAGAAGCCTCGTACACAGCCCAACAAAGTTTAAGAGGGTTTAAATCTCCAAAATTTTGCGCAATTTGTTTAAAATTTGTTTTTAAACAGAGGTTCTGGGTTTTATATAGTAAAAATCACATTTATTGACTATCAAGTAAAAATTTTTTCTCTTTTACTTGTTTTTGGAGATTTAACCCATCTTAAACTTTGTTGGGCTGTGAAAGAGGCTTCTTGCGATATAATTTTCTTATCCATTAACAAACAATTTTTGATTATTTGAAAAAACCAAAGTGACCCATTTTTGGGGTAAAATTTTGGTTGAGAATTTTGGAGAAAAAATTACACCATATTAATTCTGAGGAAATTCTAAGCAACTTTTTGTCTAATCTTAACCCAATTTGAGAAAAACGCGTTTGAAAACTCAAGTTTTGTTCGTTTTGTCCGGATGATTCAAATCCAGCACTGTATTAAGGGTAAACATGATTAAAACTTCCAATTGCTTCCAATTAATCATTATGTTTACGCTAAGAACGAGTACGCTCGTGAAAATTTTCATTGATTGTTTTGTTTTTTCAAAACATTTTCCCATAACATTAATTGGTTACTGCATCTAATGAGTGACCGGCAAGTAAATATCCGAATTGCTTTCGAGCTGCTTTTGACTGCTCTCGAGTACATTTGAACTGCTCATCTTACATTTAATAAAGTTTATTTGTCGTCTGAAAGTATTGCCGTCTTGATGGCCTGTCTTCTTTTTTTCCTAGCACCCATCTTATGGTCACCTTCAAAGAACTCTCTGATACTATGTGCTATAATTACTTTTTCAATTTTCCCTTTGAGTTCATATCATTTTCTTTATTTCATCCAGTTTAAAAGATTGACAAATTGTTAGCGAGGAAGTGTAAAGCCCTCAAAAAAGTCGACAGTTCTCGGACTTGCTCAGTTTTTTCTCTCTTCACTAAGCAGCGAAAATGAGATTTTATTTGTTTTCTTTGAATAGAGATATCTTTTATGCAGAGAAAAAAGATAGAATAATGCACATTGATTGTAAAGGGATTTATCCACTCGATCCCAAAATGATGTAGATTTTTGTTATCATAATTGAATTTAAACTATTTCGAAGCCTCATGTAAAGAGGTTCTGTTATTCGAATCAGACGCCAAAAAACTATTGCGGTCTGATTTTTTGGTTGCATTTTATATTGCATCCCAGTCCTGAGTCATTGCTTTTATTTTGCGTTTTCAATTCTATTTTAAGCGCAGTTCTTTCTCAAAAAATGTTACTTTATTTTTTCGTTTGAATTTGATTACATTCATCAAGATTTTTTCAAACACTTGATGTGAGTTTTGAGATATCTTGAACATTTTGTAGATTGTTTTGTGATATTTTTATATAAAGTACCAATCGTATCATTAGTGTCATGTTTAATAACTGCTAATCAATTTATATGTCGATTATTCTGAAGTTCTAATTTTTTTCGAAATTTAAGAATTGTCACGCTAGTCGTATGTAATTAATTATTTTCTTTTTTAAATTACCTTCCCTCACTTCATTTACAACTTGGGATATTTAGTAGTCGAAACAGAAGAAAGAAGATGATAACTGAAGGTGAAGAATTGCACATTTCGAGTTTTGTGAACGCGTCTACAACAAACTGCACAGACTCAGGTAAGACTCAGAACTGGCCTCATTCACTCACGAACAATCGTTCTAGGAGAATAAGATCAGATCACCGTCAGTGATTAGGTTCAAGCTATGGCGTAGATTTGAATTTTGAATTTTTGAGCGCAATTTATTGCTAAGCAAAGACAATTTGTGGATGATCTGATCTTATATAGGCTCCTATACTAAATTCACTTCTGCCGTCACGCAATTTTCAATAGTTTTTGTAAGGTTCCATGTTGTAGTTCAAAAAAGATGGTACAAATCTTCTCTCATTAAATCAAATTCATCTTAAGTTCAACCAAGAACACACAAATTGACCTTCATTAGAGAATAAAACTGGTAATAAAATGTTCACCAAAAGTTCATAAAATTATATTAATCCACAAATTTAAAATTATTGAAAAGTAAAATTATTCCACAAATTGAAATTTATTGAAAAATCATATGAATCCACAAATTGAAATATATTTTTTATAACCGATTTCGCGTAAAAATTGATGTACACTTTTGCAATTGTGGGAAAAACTGTACAAACATAAACCCATATATATAATAATTAGTTCCATAATTATCCTTATAATAATTCCAAAGATATGCCAGCTAGGTATATAAAATTGGCTTAGGTCTACTTTATTTTTAGTCTCCTCTTTCTCGTTAAAGATAGCTTCAATTATGGGTACAGTTACTCTTTTCTCCGACTCAGAACATTACTCCAGATGAATTGTTAAGTTTGAATTTTAGAGCGCAAAAGTTCGACTCCTAAATACAGTGGCGAAGATGACTGTCGGCTTCTCCGGCCAATCGACTGCAGTGAAACATCAGTGCTTGCGAAAACAAGATTTGACCGGAGAGTGAGTCAAAATACTACTCTAAAACTTTGCATCTTTAAATTTGGCAGAGTTTCCCGTTTTCTAAAATACTCATAATGCGAAAAGTTTTCGGAAGACAAGGAAGAAAGAAAATTGTTGAAGCATAAAATTGCAATTGTGAACATTTCTCATACTGCTCAAGCAGTAACTTTGATATTTTTTAGTCAACTTTTTCTGGTTTGATACTTCAACGGTTTGTTATGATTTAAGGTCAGTCTAATGATTTGTGCTCTTTTGGCACTTAAAAACTGTCGCAACTATAGCACTTTAAATTAGAGTATAGAGGTTCATTCATATTACAACCTACTTACATACGAGGTAAATTTGGCCGGGGCGGTATTCTTGGTAGAATTTTTGAGCCTAGACAATAACCCCGATACGAGAACACCCCGTGTTTTGGGCATCAGCTAAACCAGAACCGTCAATTCAATTATAACTGAACCAATTTTTGATAAAAAAATACGGTAAAAGTGAACCCAGAATTGCTATGCTAGTACCTGATAATGCTTTGAAAGAACCGAAAATAGTAACACCGAGACTGGTAGGAGATAGAGCTGAGATAGAGCTGCAGTCGCAGCGCTTGATATCAGAGACAATTTGGCACTCAACTGAGGCGAAGAAGAAACTACAGACCAAAAAACTAGAGGACCAAGCGAAGGCCACAACATAAGCTAGTTTCAGGTGGAGAAAAAAGTAGTCTCTAAACTGTTATTAGCGTTAGGGACAAAAAGCACGAGAAAACTTTGATAGAAACAACCGCAACTGGAAGTATCCAAGTTTAAAGGATGACTAACAAGAACTTTGCAATGAAAGTCACTTATCAAATCTGCAAAATTTTGAATCACCTGCAAAATTGTGCAGATTAAAAAAGAGCAAAATAGCAGATCAAAGCATGAAATCTGAGATAGAGAACAAAAATTTAGTAAAAGGTTTGGAATCTTAACAAAACTTGATAAAATACTTAATCAGCAAACTGGAAGCTTTTAAATAATAAACAGGGATATTGGAATGAGTAGATATAAAACATTTCAAAAGCTTGCCTGAGTTTGAAAAACTTGGGAAAACCAGAAATCAGGTGAGTTCAAAGTTCCGATACCCACAATGCCCTGTCCAAGGAAAAAAACTGCAAGATATCTACATATGACTAAAGCAAGGTTTACCAAGAAAATTAAAATGCAATGATGGCATCAAGGGTAGTCAAAACGGAACATAATTTGACCGGAATAGGTAAAATAACCACAAAGCCTGTTAAGTATAATTGTTAGAAATAGAGAAACAAGGTGCGGCCACTTAGCGGAATGAAAAAGGACGTGTTCTTTTCAATAACTACCGCCGCAAAAATAGCAAGTTTTTCTTCTGTTTCTATATTTTCTTTTTGTCAAGATTCAGTGAAATCATTGAAGATCTTTTATAGATTATCTTTCGAACCCATCTCAAAATTTGATAAATCTAGATCTTGATTTTCGCGCGGAAACAGGTGAATGACTTTTCTAAAATTTCGGTTTTAAATTTTGGATTTCCCATTCAACCAGTTTTATATTAATTGGGTTAGTTATATGAGACCGTCAATCACAGAAACAATTCATTTCCTTTTTTCAAAAGATGAAAAGCAAAAACTGAAAATCAATTTTTAAAAAATTTTCTGTTTACTTCATTCAGTTTTTGAAGTATGCACATCTTACGCAAAAAAATATGAATTTTTAATTTCATATTAAATCTTATGTTTGTTCTTTTGCTGTTCAAATTGGCTGTAGTCGTTAGAATTGAAATTTTGGTTTGTTCTGATTTGAGAAGAAACGAAAACACTTTCGCTACCTGTTGAAAATTGTGCCACCCTTGCGATGTTTTTTTTCTTATAAATTTCAGAAAAGAAATGAATTCATGCTACCAGTTTTTGATTAGTTTTTCCAATCGTGTTTTAAAAATTGTCGAAATAATTGTCATATGATTTTTTTTGGTTTATTCTCGTCCTTATTGCACAAAGTAAAACGGCTTAAAGGTTTTGCTCTCATTTTTCGGTCAAAAACTGAATCAGCTTATCTAAAAAACATGTAATTAGCCGCTTGATAATAGCAACTGGATAGATATCAAAATCTCAGTGACTTGCTATTTTGTGCCATAACAAAATTCTCAAGTGATGATTCTATGCGAAACTGTGACGAAACTGCAATATCGTATTCCCACTCCATTGCATTTTGAGCCTTAATTTTGTTTCAAAGTATTAAACATCATATTGTAACAAATGATTAGCACAAAAAGGCAAGTGAGTGGGGTTACAATCTCTATGCAGTTGGTGTTATTCATCAAGTTGACATAACATAGATTTCAATATGACATAGATTTTAAAAAAATTTTTTTTTATTTTTCGCACTGTTAATTTGAAACCCTTTATTTAGCCGGTGGATAACGGCAACTGCCTAATCATTGCCTCACTACCCAAATTGTTGCAGTAGTTTGGTGTAATGTTATTTTTCAATCAAGTTAGGCCCACAAAACTTGAAGAAATAGCCCAGAACGTGACTCAAACTTTTTTAAGAGTCAAAATGGTCAGAATTAATAAGTTTTCAGACAAGAATTATCAGATTTGAAATTGGTTTTTCCCGACTTGACCTAAACAAGAAAAGAAGTATTTCAGATTTCAAATTTAGATCAAAATTAGAGTTGAAACAACCATAAGCATATTTCGTAAAGCATCCAAGAGTTTTCTAACATCCAATTACCATTTTTCAGATCTGAAATTTTGATCTGAAATACGTTATTTGGGATCATCTTCAAGGATACTTTTCAAATCGGGTACTTTTTCCTTGTTTTTCAAGTTTTCAAAATAAAAAAATTACCGAAAAATGCCTTGTTTTCAGTCAAAGTTTAAAAAAATAAATTGTGAGGTTACACATAAAAACTCAAAAAACTGAGCGGCTTCATAACATTCAATATACAATGCAGATTTAAGTTACCTGGACAAAATGAATAAACTTGAAACTTTAAACGCGTTTTCTAACATCAGGCGAAAATCATGAGAGCAAAATTTGCTTAAATTTTAAGCAGAAGTAAAATAGTGCAATTTGTATTGCAAAATTCTGGCCCAAAAATTTAACACGAAACTATACCACTGCGAATTTCATATGTAGCTCAACAAACTTTGAGAAAGGTATAATTTTTCAGCTTTGTATTAACATATGTATTTTTGTTTGATCGCCAAAATTGTCATTTTCACTGAATGAAGATCTTTGAAGTTTCACGTTTGCCTTTTTACCGGCGTTTTATGTGTTCGTTTCTTCTGAAAAAATGCGAGAGATTGCTGCTGAACAAAAAGTTTTTTGAAAATATGGACTTGATGTTATATTCAAATTCTTGACCTCTGAAGAAGCGCAACCATTTTGGTTTGCTCTTTTGACATTTCGTATGCAATTTTGAAAATTTGTTTGTATTTTCGATACTTGTTCACTGTCTCAAGATCAGAATGTTTTTAGAATTTAAAGACATGATCTGATCTAGTGTTGATTTAAATTAAAAACTCTAGAAGTTCATATTGGATTGAAATTTGTCAATTTATTGACTAAACTTTTTAGGATATTTTGTCTGGGGATCACCTTGAATCAGAATTAAGAAAAAAATCCAGAACCAGCTTGACAACGTAAGCCACGTAATCAACGGAAGCCAAATTTCAGAGCCAGCTGAAAACGAAACGACTGGGATTAAATTCGAAAGAATTGGAGTTGAAACGCAAAAACTAGGTGCGAAAAGACGCGTCACAAGGCTTGACCGTGAGCTGAGCAAACTTCGATCCGAGTTTGATTCTGTGATTGAGACACATACATGCAAAAGCAAAAGTCTTCGGAACGAAATTCGTCATTTGCAGAAGAAATTGCTCGAAGAAATTGCTTTCAAAGTTGAAAAGTCTGAGCTCAATTTTGCAGAACTACAAAAAAGGCTGCAAGAATCCGAGGCGGAAAGAAGACAAGCAGGATGTGCAACAAGTAAGAAAGCTGCGTTGGCGATAAGCAAATCTGAAAAAGAATCTGCGCCCACAGAAGTCGTTTTCGAAACCGAAAAGATTCAAAAACAAATCGAACTGTTGGAGCTTAAAATTCAAGAAAAAGAAGCTTCGATTGCTACTGAATCCCAAAGTTTTCACACTGACGCCCTAGAAACTGACCTGGAAACTGAACGCCAAAATGTTGAAAATACCAAAACTGAACATATAGACGCGTGTTCAGAATGGCTCAAAAATGCTAAGAGAGTTCACAAGATATGTATGAAGACGAAAGGAGGCCAGTCAAAAGAACTGATAATTGAAGGAATTGAGTTTGAAACTGGTCAATTTAAGCACGGCTTGCTTGGGAACCAGTCTTCACCTGACAAAGAACTGGAAACTAAGATTAATGAACTGGAACTAAGACTGCAAAAAACAGAAGCTGAAAAAGAAGCAATGGCTTCAGCTGCTGAAAGCTTCAAAAATGGGACAATGAAGCTACGAAGTACAGCACATGGGCTTATTCAAGAAATCGATAACTTGGCAGACCAATTAAGAAAGCATTTGGAATGCAACGGAATGAACCCACCGGCATACGAAAATAATTCGAAAAAACTAAATCTGACAACAACCTAAAACACAGAAGTGCCGAACTAAAATATAAGTACTAATTATAATAACACCACTAGCCAAACAACTCAATACTTGCCAGAAATTTATTTTCTATACAATTTTTCAATAAAAAATATTAACTAATCCAGACCCGTACAGAACCAAATTTTTGTTTCTGACGAAAAATAACGGTTTTTTTTTCAGTCGAATTCTTTAGCAGATTTTAAATTTTTTGAAAATCTTGTTTCTAGTAGAATGATTTTTATTTCTAGAGTTTTTCAGTCAGATAAAAATGTCATCGTGGGATTTGAATTACCGATTTCTTATTTACAAACACTTTTCTCCCAGTAACTGATAGCTTAACGAGAATTATTTATGCGTAGCGAATTATCCTACACAACAAAATCGCTCCAAATTTAATTGAGGCTAGCTAATCAGATCGGTCGTATTAAATTCGTACGACTCAACATTTCACATTTTGATATTGTCCAAAATTTATAAGTTTTCAATATTTTTTTCCCAAAATTCGATATGAATTAAGAGATAGTCGGAACATTCAGGGCTTTGCCATGATGTGCGAGCAGACTTGTTAGATAAGAAACAGATAAGCAAATGTTAGATAAGAAAGAGATCGTTTGTGTACAGAAACACAATAAATTTTACTCTCTTTTTGCGTGAGCGAAAAGTTAATGTAGCTCAGAAAACTTGATCTGGGTCTGAAGTCATTTCAAAATGAATTGATTTATGATGTCTCAAGAATTAGTAAAACTGCAAAAACTAATAGTTACAGTTTTGATAGTGTTACTAGGTTTTTGATATTGATGTTTTTGTACTTCTACTGAATTGCAAGCCCGGGTTGAGCTCACATTGAAAGTTAGCGATAAAAAACTGAAACAAAATAGCGATCGCCATCGATGAGTTATCGATGTTCATTGCCACAATTGCAAAATTCATCAATAGATTACTGCTAAATTGGTTAAGTGTTATTTTTTAGCGATCGAACACCAATAAAAATCCTATCAAATTGAGCAGAAACAGTAAACTAACGGGGTTCGCTCCCGCAATCATCAGCCTTGAAGACATATATCCTAATTCCGTACCATCAGGCCTTAGATATATTTTGTTACAAATTTTATTAGGAATTGACTGCAATCATTAAAAGACTACTAGAAAACAGCGATCGCCATCGATGAAGTATCGATGTTCATTGCCAGCTTGGCAAATTTATCGATGGACTATTGCTAATTTGACAAAATTTAGCTATGAAACATCGATAAAAAACCTATCAAAATGAGCAGAAACAGTGAAATGCGGGGGTTCGCTCCCGCAACCGTTAGCTTTGAAGACAATTGCCACCTCTGCGACATTCAGTTTTAGCAAAATGAAAGTTAAAGGGCTTATCAACTATAACTTTTATTTGAAAGCTACTGCAATGAGTTGAAGTTTCTTAAATTTTAGCGCTGCTTTTCCGCGGAATCTTTACTGAAATAGCTCTGAAATATCGCAGGTTTAGTTATGCAAAAAACTCTGATCTATATATAAATCAGCGCTGGAAAATAGCAATCACTAGGATACTACAGAAAAAGCAATTATTATCGGAGTGGCTTCATTCCGGGTGATAAAATCTCGAAAATTTGATCTTCATTTAGTTTTCGGTTATTTATCATCATTTGTCATCCCATTGACTTCTCATAGTTTTTATATAAATCACAGTGATTTTTCGTGATCGTGTTTTTCTGTCAATTAAAATTTTATTTGAAAGAGCATTTTGTGCATAAGTTCTCAATTTTTAAATTAAAATATACAGCCAACTAAAAATTATAACAGTTTTATAACCTCTCAAAGTTGGTATCGACTTTTGTTGTTTTCGAGCCAAAAAAAAACTTTTGTCAGAAATATTAGTATTTATTATTGCAAATCGGTTGAATTGTTTTCAAGCATCAATAGTTTCATTGCCATTAGATTGTACGTTTATGTTTTTAAAAAGCCTTCAACAGAAGCCACCAACAAAAAGTGTCTAGAAAGAAGGGAAACTTTGAAAATCTTACTCAAAATTCAAATTTTTCTCCACGCGCAAGGATTTCGAGGCGATTGCTTTAACATCTTGCCACGTATCACTTGGACCAAATTTCTTTTTGAACGGAAACATATTGATACCAAAGTTGAAAATAGCTGAAATTTTTAGTTTGAAGCATGACAATTGGAAAAGTTATCACGGACAAAAATTTTTCATGAATCCGAGCTCAAAAATCATTCAAACTTGATCTCCCAAAAAAAACGCATTAGTGCCGGAGAAATTTCTATCCTAAATTCCTTGAAAATAAGCAATAGAAATTTCAGCTTTTTGGCAAACATAAAGCTACAGATCACATCTAACAGAGTCAATTTTAAAAAAATCGTTTGTTTTTTGCTCCGACTTTATCATAAATTTGAAGATGCGAACCCTATCGCAACGCTCTATACAAAAACAAAAATAACGAGCCATAAAAAGAATATTGATTGAAAAAATTAATTGCACGAAATTTATCATTTTAATGAATTCAATGCATCATTTTTCCGGTTCAAAAAATCTTTATATTGTAATTTTTGTGGGTTTCGATAAAAACGAAAAAAAGCCAAGAGATGATGCTTATTCCATCGCACACGCTGCAACAAAAAACACTTGACATTTTTTTTTGAAATTTTGTCTTTAATTTATAGATTTTGCAAGATTGCATCAAATTACCTGAGGCCTGCGAAAGTTTTGAACTCTCGCTTTCTTCCAAAAAGCTTAATAGTAAGAAAAAAAATTTGTTTTTCTAAATTTGTTTTTCTAAAATTTGTTTTCTAAAAATTTGTTTTTCAAAAACTTTTTTAGTTCGATCACTACTCTATAGAACTTAAAAGTCAGTCGGAACATTCGGGCCGTCGCCCTGATACGAGCAGTGTTGTTTGAGTTTGCTGATGCAAAAGAAGAAAAAAATGTTTTTATATTTTGACTGTCGTTTTTCTTCTTATGGTTACGAACAGGGGCGGATTTAGGGGTTGGAGGAGAGGGATACGAATGGATGACTGACCATACATTTTTTCCGAAGGTGTCTTTGGTACAAATATGTACTATTTTTAGCGAGAGCTTGGAAAATCAGTTTGGTCGACCGAAAAAAAGAGGTCGAGAAACTTTTCGAAAATTTCCTGAAAAGACGCCCCCTCCCTTCGAGAAAATCTTCTATATGTCCATTGTTACGAAAACTGCCTTTGACAATGCACAGTTTACGGAAATGCAATTTGAATATAAATTGAGTTTGAAAAAATATATTAGCTCGGCTACTATAATTTGGCTGGTTGAAACTTCTCTAAATCAACATGAAATGCCGCTGAAATGTGTGAAATGTCTGGATTTGAGAGTTTTTTAATGTATTGATGACCAACTTCAATAACAAATTTTTTCACTCCCTATGAAACGATGAAAATACTTGAGCGTTTTCAGAATGGTTTTCAACTAGAAAATTAAATAACATAGGATTAAATACCATTTCTCGGAGAGTTTTTGTGGACTAGCTACACCCCATAATTTTACCTTGAAAAGAGTAAGTTGATAACTCAATTGTTTTTTCTAGTTGAATTTCCAGTTTAATGTAGCTGATTTTCTCTTACTTTGACGCCTATATACTATTTTCGACAAGCAACTGTGCCGCAAAAACGCAATTTTTTTTTAAAATAGCTTGTTTTTTTCCCCAAAAAAACAGCTTACGGCTCTGAAATTTCTATCATTTGAAGGTCTTTATTGTTGTTTGGGAGAGTTATGGAAAAAAAAATTGTTCGACCTAAAAAAGTGCACACAAAGCGTTTTTCAAAAAATGAAATTCACCCTACACCCCCTCTAAGAAATCTTATACCCATCCTGACATGTTAAACACATTCTTTTCAAGTATACGCCAAACAGTGGCATCAAAATCAAGCTTTATACAGATCATTCTTATCACTTCATTTATAAACAGCAACCGCGTTGCATTACCACTGTTAATTTTTGCTTTTTCTGTAGTATCCCAGTAGTCGTTACTTTCCAATGCCGATTCTGGTATAATTCAGAGTTTTTTTGTATAGCTAAACCAGTGATGTTTCTGAGCTATTTCAGAAAAGATTCCGTAGAAAATCATCTCTAAAACTTTAGACAATTTAACTCATTTTAGCAGCTTTCAAATGAGAGTTTTATTTGATAAGCTCTTTGACTTGAGTGTTGCAGAAGCTGGATGGCGCAGAGGTAGGATACATGCCTACACACCTGTTGGATGCGTGATCGTAACACTGTTTAATAACTATTTTAGCTCACTTTGATACGTTTTTTTATCGCGGTTCATCGCTCAAAATTAGCCAAATTAGCGATAATTTTTCAATAAAACTGCTAATGTGGCAATGAACATCGATCCTTCATTGTTGGCGATCGCCGTTTTTATTTCATTCTTTTATGGCTAACAATCAATGTGAGCTCAACCCGGGCAAGCACATAATACAAATAAATTAATTGCAAGCAGACAGGGGCGGATTTGGAAATTGGTCGAGGACGATCTTTTTTCAGGCGATCAAATTGATTATCCAGGCGCTCCCAGAAAAATTTAAAGAACCTATTTTGACATTGTTTTTGCATCGCAAGCAAATTTTGAGAAAATTGTTGTGCACTTTTTGGAAAACTCCAATGAAACATTTTTTCGGCACGCACTTCGCTTCAAAATTAGTATATGTTGGCGCCGAAGGCTCCTTTAGAAAAATTTGAACTTTGGTCGACAAAACATGGCAAAACAAATAATATCAAAGAGGGAACCCTTCGGTTGGTGAGGGGGTCGAATCCCTGAGGGGAGGAAGGGGTCTGCCTCCCTTCCCGCCCCCTCGTAAATGCCCCTGTAAGCACATTCATCTAACAGGTTTAAAACAATTGACGTTTCGTCTTAATTTTATATCCGCACATTTCGTCTATTTTAATAACTCAGTCGCTGATTAACTTGAGAGCTCTGATGCGTAACAAAGGTGTGTGCTTGACAACCTCGAAGAAGTAAATTGTTTACAAACAACCTCTGGCGAAGAAAGATGTGAAGCGTTGCCGCGCGTGAAGGCCGTT